AGACCGTCTGCTTACAATGGCGTTAACACACAGAATGGCAGGAATCGTAACCGGGATATACCACAAGTTCAGAAACAGAGAGAGGATCTGCCTGACTGCGTGCCTCTGAGAGTCCCGCCGGACACCCCTCCCACCAGGATCTGTGTGCACTCCCCGCGCGTGGACAACATGATCTCCAACGGTATCAGAGACACGGGCGAGTGGGAGGGAGAGCACGTGGCCAACCTCAGAGAGTTCTTCCAGGTAAAGATATTTCTGCGCGTGTGCGTTATTGCCATGCTAACTTCTTCTCTTCCGCTCCCGTAGATGAATAAAATTTGTCATCCGTTGGGTGGCCTCTGAGAGAAGACAATAAACCTCCTCCACTCCTCTCGGCTAGTTGTCTCCTTTCCTGAGTGTGTCCCGCAGTTCCATGGCTGTCCATTCTCAGATGTTATCTCCCCTTCTCTCTTCTCCTTTCTGCCTCTCCTTCGTCCTCCCTTTTCCTTACTTACTTTCTATATGGCTTTTTACACTAGGGAAATGTCCGCGCATCGCACGGCTGCGAATTTGCATATTTATTATGCCATACTTCGCGGTTGTGTGACGAGTGGACATTTTCTTTTGTATGCACGGGGCCATATGAAGCATTGGTCTCAAATACACTCTTTACACTCACCACAATCCTTGGTCAGAAGTCCCAGCTGTTGTTTGGTCCCCTATTTTTGCGATGAGATCACTGAGTCATATTAGCATTCTCTTTGTTCTTCGGGGGGGGTCCTTTTTCTGCGGCTTCTTTTTTTCTTCAATAAATTTGTGATTAACAGAAAAAACGGGGAAAATCGAAAACTTGGTTTGATTTATGATATGAGAAAGAAAGGTCACGAAATATAGAAAGAGGAAAATAGAAGGAGAGAGGGGGAGAAGAGGTGAGCGGGAGAAGACAACGAAAGAGATAAGGAAAGAGTGAGGAAAGGGAGAGAAGGAGAGAGAGAGAAAGAGATGAAGAAAGAGAGAGTAAGAGAGAAGCAGAAACGATCCTGTCTTCTTGGAGGTCACCTGCCAAATATAAAAGTTTGATCCAAATTTTTACAATGGCCCAAACACGCATAAAAACTTTGACGACTTGTCCAAAAATATATTTTGATCCGTCAAAATGTTGATTCAAATCTATTTTTGACAACAAAACGCCCTACACACATTCAAAGTTTGCCTCAACATTTTGATATCAAAATTTTGTTGCAGAATTTTGACGCTTTTTAGAACGTGTATGAGTCTCTTTAAACTCAAAACCTTCTGCTCACAGAGACTTTCTGTCTGGTGGAGATCCTGAGTGAGTACAACTCGGGGACCTTACAGCGTGACTGCCGAGCCCTTGCGAGTGAGTACTTAGATCTAATTATGTCAACTGCAAGTGAGTACTTAGATCTAACTGTCAACTTCGAGTGAGTACCTAACTGTGTCAACGTATGCCGATTTTTTCTGCCTCCTATGAATACTGTGATGACGTACGATGACCTTTGGGTCACCACTACCCTTGCCAACACTGCTGAGTCTAACATCACAACGTGGGTGCCCTAGTGTGGCTTGCTCCTACTTCTTTCCTATCAGACTTCTAATTCTTTTATCTCTACTCCTTTTTTGTGTGTGTCTATTACTCTTTTGTTAGACCTCAAATCTTCGGTATGTATATATGACCTAATTATGTTGTATTTGCGGTAAAACATTCGTTACTAAAACTAAAACAAACAGCATCACAACGACCACCAATAATTATATTCAGTATAGCAATACAGCAATATCATCACTGTAGGAAATAACAGGTGCTATTATTATGTTATTGGTTATGTCATTTTTTGTCAAGCCCTCTCGAGTCTGAAGCGTGAGATGGGTTCAGTAGACACTTGTACGGTCCTACTTCATTGACTTCGTCATGCATGTGCTCTGATGGTAGTACACATTTTCTCACTTTTCTCGCTATATCTCCAGCTACATAGTGCTGTGTGTATTACACGTAATTATTAGGAATGGAAAAGTCAGCTCTAATTAGAGATACTAACAACCCAGCAAATTTAGAAAACTGGGGCTTGAGAACGGTCTTGCACTCTGGTCCTCAATTGGTTGCTTTTAAGCACAAGGGGCCTATCCCGAAAAATGCTGTTTTGAGAACATTTAAGATAAAGTTTTTGCCTCTTGTTCGGTTTCTTTAAAAGACAAGAAGTTTTCTCTATAACCAAACAAATATACACAAACTTCTCCTATAGGTAGGGCAATGCCCACTTTTGGTGTAGGTCAAGATCAAGATTTTTGAAAACCCCCGAAATCCGGGTTAGCCCGCTTGTCCTTAGAGGCGATCTATTGTTCTAAAGACCAAAATAACTCGTTCAATTGGTACCCTGATCGATCATTTAATCAATATCATTTTTTGTCCCACTCCAGGGAGACTCTATACTCGAAGGCACTTTCCACCAGAACTTGGCCAACCTCAGAGTATGCGGTAAGTTGGAGCAGACTGTACAAGAAGTTCTGACTAAAAACCTGGACGTGGGGGGAATTCGCGACCTCGGTGCTTTCTTGTCCTAT